GCTCAAGCCTGTAATCCCAGCACTTTGGGAGGCCGAGGTGGATGGATCCCGAGGTCAAGAGATCGAGACCATCCTGGTCAACATGACGAAACCCCATCTCTACTAAAAATACAAACAATTAGCTGGACATGGTGGCATGTGCCTGTAATCCCAGCTACTCAGGAGGCTGAGGCAGGAGAATTGCCTGAACCCAGGAGGCGGAGGTTGTGGTGAGCTGAGATCACGCCATTGCACTCCAGCCTGGGTAACGAGTGAAACTCCGTCTCAAAAAAAAAAAAAAAAATCACATTTTTTCTCTTTTTTTTCCAAGTAGATTGCTTTCTGGAAAGAGCTCAGATGAATATTTCACTGTTCTTTTGTTTCAGTAGTTGTCACTCCATTCAATTAGATGATCTGGAAAAAATGATGCCAAAAGTCTACGGTTTTTGGCTCTGTGGTTATGGTACTGACACCTAATCCATTATCACTTCCCTGTACTGTGATCCTAAGCAGTCCCTCCCACAGTGACTGAACTTGGCTGGGTGCTTTGCTCTGGTCAATGGGACAGTAACACACAGGACACAGGCAAAGACTTGACAAGTCCTTGCACAGTAGGTCCCACCTCGCTGACTCCCACACGATGAAGCAGGATGGGTGACTGCTGGGTGAGGCAGTCACCTCTGTCACTGCAGCCAAAAGCCAGCCAGAGCTCTCAACATGGCAGGCTGCCCAGCCCATCACAGCTAGCTATGGACAAGTGAGGGAGCCCAAGTGAGACCAGCAGAATAGTCACCCAGCTGAGCCCAGCTCAGTTGTCAACGCTCAAAAGTTAAAGAAAGAGCTGTTTAGGGCACTGTGTTTTGGGGGTGATTTTGTTATGCAGCAAATGCTGACTGATACATGACCCTTTATTGTTTAATGGAATAGAGCAAAGAGTAAACCAAAGAACAGCTACTGCACGTACAATGGCATTCTAATCAGTCTTAGCATTTTGTTATTTACAGAAGAATGGAATAAAAAGCACCAGAGCTATACTTTAAGAATATTTTGAGAAAATATCTGTTTTCACAGAATTCTCAAAGGACCAAGTTAACCACTGTGGTGAGGCTCTGACATCCTCCTTGGCATCCTGAGCCACATGCAGAAGCAACAGCAGCCATAATGTGTCTCCACTCCTGCTCAGAGCCTGTGGGAGGGGCCATTTCTTGGTCCAGGTGAGCTCCTTGAATGTCAACCAGGAAGTCTCACTGAAGCACCTAAGAAGCAGCTTGATGTCACTGGCAAGTGCCTTTTGGGGCCAAAGTATAAATGCCAACATGCTCCATCTTACATTATAATCAAAAGTCACTAGAAACATTAATACAGAGTAGGCACCACTCTTATGACTAAATATTCTTCAGTATTGTTAAAAGAATTACATATTATAAAAAGAATTGTTTCCACTGGGCTTCCATTTCTGCTGCTAGATCAGAGGAGCAGGACTGGGTGGGAAAGCGTACTTCCCCAGACGTCTATACTACTTGTCAGAGCCTTGGACCCACTAAGACGGACAAGTCTGTGTCTGCCTCCACCCACTTCCTAGCTTTTATTTAAGACATTGTCTCAGTAGATTTCAGACCCTCGTAGGGTTTCAAAACCACATCTATTACCTGCTGAGGTCACGGTATGAAAAATCATTGCAATAAAATGGATTCAGTAATTATTTGACAAAAATGTGGATTCAGACATACTATAAATTTTTTTAATTGCATTTAAATATTGGCTGTATTTACGTGCAGACTCCATCAGAAGCCCACGTGAGTCTTCAAGAAGGATTAACAATTCTTTTGAATGTACTCCACTGAGAAGCAGCAGGAGGGAGGGTACCTGCGGACTAAGAAGATTTGCTGCTCAGCTGCTCACCTCCCACCTTCTCACCCCCACCTGCTCCTGTGCCACTGACCTTGGCAGAGTGTGGTCATCTAAGGGAAGTGCATGGATGTAATGAGAGGGATGGGAGGAAAAGACCCACGGGAGTGAGAGAAAGGAACGATGGAGACATTCAGAATGTCCTTTTCAATCTAGTCACCATCCCAAGCCTTCTATGGCTGAGCCATATTGTGTCTTGGAGGGGATTTCCCAAAAGCTCCTAAGAAAGCTGAAAATCCTCTGTCGGCCATTTGGCCCCCAGGGGCTTGAGAACATCTCTGATCCCTTCCTTTCCACCATCTCATCTCCATTAATGACAAATTTCACCTTTTAGATATTTCCTTAACACTTCTAATGCTGCCCTTATTCTCTCTCTTGCCTTCCCCCACGACAAGTCCCCGAAAGAGGCAGGGGGCACATCTGGTTTGGTCCTAGCCCCAGGCCACCTCCCTTCTCGCCTCCATCTCCCCTACATCCTTGTCCCACTCTTGGGCAGAGCAGCGCCTGAAAACACAGGTCACAATTTGACCATAGCCCTTCTGCCTGAAACCCTTCCTCGGACCTGTGTGGTCAAGTGCCCGCGCCAAGGCCTCCTCCTGTGACTCCCACGTCCTCCACATGACATCCTGCTCACTTTGTGTTGTTTAGGGATTAAATGTTGGCGTGTTCTGAGTCTTGGTTACTGTGACAAATCCATTCAGGCTCTCCAGCAGCACGGCCTGTGTGGTGAGGTATAGCAGTGACCCTGACACAGAGGGGACAGATGAGCTGTGGGACGTTGCTCTCCACGCTCCGGCCTGCCCCTCCCAGGGCTCCTTCTTGACTCTTTGGTGGGTCCCATCTGTCTCACAGGTATCTGAGTTTGTGACTCTGCATAAATCCAGTCTCCTTAGGTGGCTGATAAGGTCCTTGCTAATGGTACCCTCCTCCCACTCCAGCCTGTTTTGCCTACCCTCCCCATAGGCCTCCTCGTTTCTGACCCGTTCCTCTTCCCTGCAGACTCCTGAGCTGCTGCCTCTGTGTATACTGGGTCTCCTTGGACTGGACTCCTCTGCCAGCTTCCCTCAAGCCTCCTCTTACTCACCCTCCAGGTGCAGTGCGGGGAGGGCTCCTGCCTGTTGCATGACTTCTGAATCTCGAATTGAGCTCAGGGCCCCAGCCCCTCTTCTGGATGCTTTCAGAGTTGACAGGGTGTTCTGTCACCATAACTCCTGGGTTGGGCTGAGGCTGCGTTTTCGTGCATCTGCTTCCCTAATTCCACTCCATGTGGGTCACGCAGCATTTATACTTTGCTGTCAGCAAAGCCCTCAGATCTTGGAAAACAATAGTCACAAGCAGGGGCTTCTGAACAGAAACCAAGCATGCTCCCAACTTTCCACAGCTGCAGTGAGTGCCCTCCCTTTGCAGGTGTCACCAGAGGGCATTAGGGTCTCTGCAGGCGCCCGGGCATCCTGTCTTGGTCCTCTGTGCCATGACTCTCCACTCCCTGCCAGTGGGCTTCCCTGGTTCCCTTGGCTGGGACTGCACCGATATCCAAATTTCCCTCTCCATTTCTGATTCTCCGTCCTGTCTAGAGCCAGATCTCTTCGCTCCGGTTCTCACTGGGGTCTCCAGTCCTGATTCTCTGGAATCCTGGGTCTGTCACTCACCTGCAACTTCTCTGGCCTTTCTATCAAGTGTGGGGACCCATGGGTGTGGGTCTGATTCTGCTCCAGACTTCCCCCTTCGTGCTTTCTCCTGCCTCCTCCACCTTCCAGGCAGAGTGCACTTCGCCAAGAGAGCCTCACCTGCTGAAGATGGCCCCATGAGGCTGCAGAAAGTTATGGAGCCCTGGGTCAGACCAGATCTTCACACAAACTCACACTGCAGCTGGGCAGTTTCTCCAGGGGTCTTTTCTAGAAGGGGCACTTCTCCCAATTCATTGCTCTGGACAGTCTCCTCAGGGCCCAGGAGCTTCCCTGGCTGTGCTGATGCTCATGAACCTTTCCTTTCCTTCCTCTTCAACCCAGAGTGCTTCAAAGTTTCCCTTACCCCACCGTGTTCTCTCCCAGGCCTGCAGCACACGGGTTCTGGAGGCCAGGTCGCACAGACACAGGCTTGGAGCATAGCTGCTGCCTCCCCAAGACCACTCCCCAGCCACTGGCCACGATCCTGAATTTTCCATTCCGAACATTTCCGCTCCACCTATAAAAATGCTCTTGCCTGTCTTAGACAAAAACAAACATCCCTTCCCCCTTTGGTCACACATGGCCTCTGAAGGTCGGACCTGCTCGGCAGTTTCCTTCCCCACCAAACTGATGGAAACCTGGCCCATGTCTCCCTGCCGTCGTGTCCTGGGAGAACACTCCTGGCCTCATTGCAGTGGGATGACCTGGAGGCTGTGGGCAGCAAACCTGCTAGTCCATGCCCTGCAGCAGCTGCTCTTCCCCTGTCCCCTGCCCTGGGGGTCCAGTGTGCCACACGCCCAGCAACGACTGTGCCTACCATGCTATTTCCAAAGAGTAATGTGCGCATCTCTGTGCATGTAATTCAAATGCCGTCACCTGCTCTCCAGGCCACTAAAGAAGTGAGTCATCTAAGAAGTCAATTATCTTCCTTTAGGCGATCAGCTCCTACACGTTCTCCCAGCACAGTCCAGCTCTACCAACAGTCTCTCAGTAGTAACTGTGGAATGCAAAGTCACGGAACCACAGGTGACAATGACACACCTCCCAAAGTGTCCCCCGTCAAGTACATTTCCAGCCTTGTGTGGCTCTAGGATCAGGCATCCCTCTCTCATCTTGCCAATGGCCTCTCTGTCCCATGGGCTGCGGGACAGCAGGGAACCCCGATGAACCCACCAGCATTGACATCTGCAGCCCCATCCGACAGCCATTTCCTGGGGTCATCTCCGACCAGAATCACTGCCCAAGTGCCCCTGGGTTTCTGTTAGTCTTTCCTCTCCTATCTTCCACGAGCGTTCAAGAGTGAAGGGCGCCAAGACTGCCTTTGGTCTCTGCATTTTTGCACCCTAGTTTCACTCCCTAACTTTTGCAAGGCATTCACGACTCCTGCCCACCCTGGGATCCCCGCCACCCATTCCTAGAGGGCCTCTGACAAACACATCCTCTTACCTCCAGCTCCTGGAATTCCTCCTCCTCCTCCACATCGTAGGACAGCGTGTGGATTTTGATGTCTTCAGCTGAGAGGTCGATGAACTTCCCATCGGGGTACTCCAGGCTGTCTTTGGTGGGTGAGCGGTCCTCGATGAAGGTGGTCTCGCAGCAGTCGGTGGCCACGCCATCCCCCCAGGAGCGCAGCACACCCTCCGAGTAGAGGATGATGTTGGGCCGGTAGCGGGACTCCACCGACTGCTGCAGGGTGTTGGGGTCCAGCAGCTGCTGCACTGGCTCACTCCTGCTGCCGTCCAGGCTGGCTGGCACTGTGCTGGCCCCCACCCGGTGGCTCTGGTACTGGGGTGCTGGGTAAACAGACACCAGACCATCTCTGCTCTCCGCCATCAAGTTTCTGGTGTTAATCAAGCCATTCCTCTTGCCAGCATCACTGATTTTACTGTGCACCAGCATGCTCTTCTGTTCAATGATGCCATCCATGGTCCTCCCTCCCCGGATGGGCGTCAGGCTGGCGGGCTGGGCACGCAGGTCACACTTTCCTCAGGGAACCCATTTCTCCTGGAGGAGGAGGAAACGGAGATGAGACCAGAGAATCACCCAGACTCACATTGTTTCAGACCGTACCAGTCAGCCGACGCGCACAGTAACTTTGAGGGTTAGCTAATGCCGTCCTACCTACTCTGTGAATGTTAAAAAGGCTCTGTCAGGGCAGCCAGCCAGAGAAAGCAGAAATTGATTATCTCAATCTCCCTAAAGTCTCTGCTTCCAAACAAAGGAGACTGCAGGAATCGGCTCCCTTGCAGCCTGGAGATCTCTGATTGCTAGCAGACATCCTGAAACCCACGTAAACCCAATCACATTAGCATCCGATGAGTCCACAGGAAAACAGAACTGCAGATCTGTCAGGAGGATTCGCTCTTCCCAGGTACACGGCTATTCCTTCAAGCAGGAATTATGTGCTGGCGGTAATCCCTACTTAGTGATGATCTTGAGGTGTCAAGTCCCAAACACAAATACGCCATGGAGGCATCTTGAGATAGGCATGGCTCGGTCTCTTAGGGTGCTCTCTCTAGTTTGCCACTCAGAATTTGCTGAGAACCAGCAGCATCAGCACCGGCTGGGAGCTTGTTGGAAATGCAGAATCTTGAGTAGCACCTGCATCTGCTAAATCAGAATCTGCATTTTAACAGGATCGCAGCTGATGACTCTGCACAGGACAGCTGGAGAGGTGCTGGTTACAGAGCACAGGGCAACTTTTGGCCTCCTGGACAACTTGGCTTGATTTTACAACTGGTTATTTACTAACTCTTAAAATGTACTCAAATTAGATCAATTAATTTTTTTAAACCACAATAATTTTTCTTTTTCTTATTGAAGTGAATTTTTCAACTTTGAGTATCATAAATTATGACTAAATATGAACAAAAGGGATCACAATTCATGGGATTTTGCTTTTGTCGTTGCCACATCCTTTGGTATCTCTTTCAACACAGGCTGGCTCGTCGTATAATCGCCTTTGCTTCATACTTCCCTTTAGCTCCTTTCCTTCCACGTCTGCTGGTACCCACTCCTACCTGCTCAGAGCCTTTTTCTGGGCCTGTTTCATCTGCTCAGAGATGAAACTCATGAAAGGAGATGGAACGGCTCTGATGAGGCTGCCATCTAGTTATCCCCCTGTCCCTGCACGAATGCATTCTGGAGTCTTGTCCCAGAATAGTGCTACTGTTCTTCCAATTCTCTTTGTAACTTTTGTGGGATTTTTAAAGTTTTTCTCAGTCGATGATATTCAGAACCAGAAGCTACAGAGATGAAAGCCTCCTGCCTGACCCTTTATTTCTGCACCAGCAGTCTCTGCTATGTGTAGGACACTCCCTTCTCTTGACCAAACTTTTTCAGGGCTGTATCAACCACTGAGCTCCCCGTGCATCTTCTTGTAAGGCTTAGAGTCTGATTTTAGGCCTGGCAGAGGAAGCTGCCTTAAATGCATCACTGGCCAATCATGCTACACCTGCTTCTCTATCAAGGAAGGCAGCTGGGGCGGGAGACAGGATGAAGAGTGGATTTTTGTGGCCCTGCCTTTGAGTCCTGGATTTCGTGGCCCTGCCTTTGAGTCCCTAGTTCTTAGTCTCTTCCTGCATCACTATTGTGAAAACTCTCTTGGGGAGTTATTAACACGCATACTTAAGCATGAGTGAATATCAGGTGAATGGGAAAATTGAGGGGTTGTGAAAGAAATAGAAAAGTCAGAAAGAAAGTAGGTATACAACAGCTCCTATAACAATTTTATATTCTATACTTGGAGACTGTCAGGGTATAAAGAACACTGCACAGTCAGAAGGAGGCCAGGGATTCAGCCCCAGTTTTGCTACTAAATATCTGATTGTGGGCAAGTGGCTTATAAAAGTGGAATTATTAATGGGGTGGTTGAGCAAGAAAAGCTTTCAGGTCCCTTTCAGCGCTATGATTTCTTTTTACCTCCTAGCCCAACAATCACAGGGTTTTTCAGCATTAGATAGAGATTTCCCACAAAATGGCTTCAGTGATGAACCCTAGCAAACACTTAAAGAACTAATACCCGTCCTTCTCAAACTTTCCCAAAAAACTGGAGGAGCAAACATTTCCTAAGTCATTCCATGAGGTCAGCATTGCCCTGATGCCAAAGCCACACAGGCCACCAGAGGAGCAGCGCAGATCCGCATCCCTGTGGACACTGACTTTGTAAAAGTCCTCAACAAAATTCTACAAAGCTGAATTCAGCAGCATATTAAATAAATCATATACCATGAACAAGTGGGATTCATTTCTGGAATGCAAGGAGGGTTAAAATTATGAAAATCAGTGATTCTAATAATAAACCACATTAATAGAATGAAAGATAAAAAATACATAATTATCTCAACTGACATAGAAAAGGCATTTAATGCTTTTCTTTCCGAATAAGCATTTCTGAAAAAGCATTGATGCTTTTTCCCTTTCATGATAAAAACATGAAACCAACTAGGAATAGAAGGAGATTACCTAAACAAAATAAAAGCTGTATTTGAAAAATCCACAGTGAACATCATACTCAATGGTGAGAACCTGAAAGCACCCTAAGATCAAGAACAAGGCAAAGATGCTAACTTTTTCCACTTTTGTTGAACACCGTACTAAATAAAAGTTGTAGCCAGAGAAATTAGGCAAGAAAAAGAAATAAAAGACCTAATTGGAAGGGAAGAAGTATGATCTCCTGTATAGAAAACCCTCCAGATTCCACAATCTGATAGAACGAATGAAGTTAGCACAGTAGCGGGACACACACTTAACACACAAAAATCGCTCCATTTCCGTTTACTAACAATGAAGAATCTGAAAAGAAATTTTAAAAAATTATTTTATGGTAGCATAAAAGAACACAATGTTTTGGAATTAATTTAACCAAGGAGGTGAAAGACTTGTACAATGAAGTCATCAAAATATTTCTGAGGTTGGGTATGGTTGCTCATGCCTGTAATCCCAGCACTTTGGGAGGCTGAAATGGACGGATCACTTGAGCTCAGGAGTTCAAATCCAGCCTGGCCAACATGGTGAAATCTTGACTCTACTAAAAATCCAAAAAGTATCTGGGTGTGGTGGTGAGCACCTGTAATCCCAGCTACTCATAAGGCTGAGGCAGGAGAATTTCTTGAACATGGGAGGCAGAGGTTGTAGTGAGCTGAGATTGTGCCACTGTATTCCAGCCTATGTGACAGAGCAAGACTCCATCTGAAGAAAAGAAATAATAAACATTGCTGAAAGAAATTAAAGAAGACACGAATGAATATTCATGTGTTGGGAACCTTAATATTGTTGGGATGTCAGTGCTACCCAAAGTTATCTATAGATTCGGTGCGATCAGCAGGAAAATCCCAATGATGTTTTCTGCAGAGACAAAAAAAGCGTTCTAACATTCGTGTGGAATTGCAAGGGGCTCAGGCTGGACTTCGAACAAAGTAGGAGTGCTCACACTTCCTGATTTTAAGACTTACTACAATGGTACAACAATCAAAAACAGTGTCATTTGGCAGAAATACACATATATAGACCACATGAATAAAATAGAGAGCCCAGAAATCAACCCTTCCTATGTGATCAAATGATTTTTGACAAGGGTGCCAACCACTCAATAGGGAAAGGACATTTTTTTTCAACAAATGCTGCTAAAAATTTGGATATCCACGTGCAAAAATACGAAGTTGAACCCTTACTTAACACCATATTCAAAAACCAACCCTGAATAAATCAATCACCTAAATGTAAAATCTAAAACCATAAAACTCTTAGAAGAAAACAGGGCGAAGTCTTCATGACATTGGACTCGTCAACGATTTCTTGGATGTGACACCAGAGGCACAGGCAACAGAAGGAAAAACAAGGTAGACTCCGTAACAATTAAAAAGTTTTGTGCATCAGCAGACAATGTCAACAGTGAGAAAGTAAGCCACAGAATGGGGGAACACATTTGCAAATCATGTATTGATAAGGAATTAACACCCAGGGTACAGAGAGAATGGCTGAAACTCAACATAAAAAATAGATTCAAAGATGGACAAAGGACTTGAATACATTTTTCTCTTCAAGCGTGCACTGCAGGCTCTCCCATTGCAGCCATGAGCTCAGCCATCCTTGCAGTTCTGACAACGTCTCCTGTACAGTTCATCTGTTCTACGGACACTTGATGAATGACTAAGTGATGTGTTGCCAACACCAGCCACCAACGGATCCTAAAACAGGTGTGTCAAGAGCTTCACTGATGAAAACAGAGAAAAGTGAAGATCAACAGATGGTGAATAAACCCATGAAAAGATGCTCAACATCACTAATAATTGGGAAATAATAGAAACTGCATGTGAGCTATGACCTCATATTCACTGGGATGGCTACTCTTAAAAAAAGAAAAGAACAAGTGTTGGTGAGGATGTGGAATAACTGGAACCCTTACGCACTGGTAGTGGGAAAGAAAAATGGTGCAGTCGCTTTGGAAAACAGTATGGCAGCTCCTCAAATAATTAAAAATAAAATTACCATATGGTCCAGAAATTCCACTTCTGGACATATACCAAAAGGAGTAGAAAGCAGGGTCTTGAAGACATACTTGCACGCCACGTTCACAGCAGCATGATTTGTAACAGTTGAGATGTGAAAGCATCCCAAGTGTCTGCAGATGAATGGATAAGCAACATGTACTATCTACATTCAATGGAGCATTGCTCAGCCTTAAAAAAGGAAGGCAATTCTGACACATGCCACAGCATGGATGGACCTTGAGGCATTATTCTAAGTGAAATAAGCTAGTCACATAAAGACAAACGCTGTATAATTTCATTGATGTGAGGTACTCAGAGTCATCAAAAGTACTCAAAAGTCATCCAGAGTATGGTTTCCAGGAAGTGGAAGTGGTGTGAGGAGTTATGATTTAATGGGCATAGAATGAAAAGGGATATAGACGGCGGTGATGGTCACACGCCACAGGTATACTTAATAACACCAAACTGTTACACTTCAAAATTAAGATGGTAAATTTTATTCTAAAGTAACAA